GCGGCGAAGTTGCGAGTTTTCCCCCCGCTGTCTCCGCAGGAAAGAATGAGAGAGGAGATCGGCGGGAGGTCTCGGGTTCCCAGCGCGGCGGCACGATGGAAGCGATGGTGAAGGAGAGCTCCCTGTGCGGGCCTACTGCCTTCCAGTGGCTCGGCCACACGGACGATGAGGCCGCGTCGAGAATCTGGAAACTCTCCGACTGCTTCTCCGCCTTCGACGCGGATAAAAAAAAGGTGAAGGGCAGGTGACCCTCCCCCCGGGGGCCGTGGAGAAGGGGGGTGTGGGGTGGAAATTAAATGCAGTTCCCCCTTGCACACACGCAGATGGTCATCTGTCTGAGCTGAACTCCTTCAGTCTTGTGCCGGGGGGTGTGTGCTGTTTCATGCTTTGTTAGATCACTGTGATCGTACACCTGAAGACCTGAAGACCTCCCACACCTGGACTTCGAAAGGAGATTGCGATGCGTAGCTGCTTTTGAGTTTCCTCTATACCTTTTTTTTTTTTTTTTTACGGGAGCCTGCAGCTTGTAACGGCTGATGGGATGAAAATGCTGTGCAGTGGGGGGGGACTTGTTTCCAGGTTAATACGCTTTGCCCAAAATCAGTCTTGGTTTGAAGAAATGTTCTTCAGTGTGACTCTGGATACACAGATTTAGCTGCTGTTTTATTATGTCCGTTCAGGCATGCGTCATATCATAAGATATAAGGTCTCTCTAAGCTATGTCACATCATTGGTACTCTTAAAGGAGAATAATCTGATGATTTTAATACTCGGACAAGGAGAACATGATGCAGACCCTGCCAGTCTGAGGTTTCAGACTGTGTACTATGTTGACTTAAGGATTACTTGTGTGATGAACTGCGGGGACCAAGAAAGACCTTTTTGAACTCTGTTGACCTGCTGAACTCTGATTCCCGAGTCGATGCGGTTCGTTTTGACATGAGTCCGAAAGTAGATGATGCGTTGGGAGTTTCCGAGCAGCACCATCCAGAGCGTTTTCCGTTCTCCGGGGACCCTGTGCCGCTGTCCTCTTCCCCATCGCCTCCCTTCTCACTTTTTCCTTTCCGTCTGGCCCTTTCAGGAAGACTTCATGGAAAACCGCAAGCCCGCGCTGGAGCTGAAGGATGTCCCCCCACCTCCGCAATGCGCCGGATCGAAACCCTTTCCTTCTGCTCCCCTGCCCCGCGCCCCCCCATGCTTCCAGCCTCTGCCACAGGAGCCTGTTCTTCAAAAGCAGCAGCAGCAGCAGCAGACTGGCAGCCCTAAAGTAAGCGTGTGCACTCACTGTGAGGCGGGCACGCCGGTGCGCTATGGCGCCGAAGGGGCGAGGCTCGGCAGGCGCCTGGGCTGCGGGCTTGTGGGTGATGGTGGCGGCGGTGGAGGTGGAGGTGTTTCTTTCCATGTTCCCAAACCCCCGGAGGCCCCGAACGGCACGATCACCTGTCAGGTGGGCCCCGCCCTGCGCCCCCCCCTCCCC